TAATTTACCTTATAAGCTCCTTCTGAAGTGCGACACCGTTTTTAGTTCTACGATGAGAAGTAGCACCAAAACCAGTAGTAACACCATAACTATCAGTGCCTTTGCCCATACTCTCCATAACCCAGTCACTGCTCGCCTTCACACCGGCTCTTGCCGTCTCCGACAGCTCCACCTTCACACCATTTCCAACGGTGGAGATTGCTGCCACTTGTCCGATCGTCAGAGTCTCTCCTCCAAGATTCACCACAGGCTTCCTAAAGTCCATAACCATTCTCTTCACTTCATCCAAATGGCTCCCTTTCATTTGATCCGCCGCAGCTCCCCAGTTGAGAGGATCCGCCGCAGCCACCGTAACGTTTTTCTTGGTCTCTTCACCGCATAACATAGCGTCGACGTTGTGTGATGATCCGTTAATCTCCATTTTGAATATTTAGTTAATTAAATGGAGGAGATTATGGAGGGATCTCTCAGGTGAGAGGGGTTTTAATATATATTTTTTGTTGGTTTAGGAGTTTGGTCCTGAGGGAAAGAGATGAATGAATGGTGGTTTAAATAAGGTGGCAGTGTTTGATGGTAGGTAAGCAAAAGAGATCTAGTTTTTTTTCTCTTTTTTTACTTTCTATAATGACAACATTAAAATATATACACCAAAAAAAAAAAAACATTTTAATATAGAGAAACAAAATGGGAATTAGTGAGAAATGAGTTGGTTGAGAAATAATTATGACCGTTAGATGGAGTGTGAGCTAGATTATCTAGTGGTGGGGATTATAGTTTGTGGATTTGGTTTAGAGCATTTGTTATGCTGAGATATTTAAAATAAATTTATCACTAAATGAGCATTTGTTATGCTGAGATATTTAAAATAAATTTATCACTAAATGAGCATTTGGTATCTCATAAACATCTCATGGATTTCATTTGATTTATTTTTTTTCATTATAAAAGAACTCCTTAAAATACTATAATTGAAATTACTCTAAGTCGAGAAAAAGAGATTTTCTTAACATGGTGGAGATTTTTGTTTATTCTCGTCAACATCACGGTCGTAAAATTAGTCGTGGCTGGTGGCTGAAGATACTTACATTTCGCGGTTGGTGAGACTGTGAGATTTCTTTTTTTCGTTCAAAGAGTTTGTTTTTTTTTTGGAGTAAAGCGTTTCATTGTGGTGGGAGTAGGTGTGTAATGTATGAACGTAATTGACTCAATTAACGTCCCCACAAATGGCCACCATAACACTCTTTCATTTCTTTTCAATTTTCTATAATTATTTTTGTATTTTGTTTCAGTTATAACATATTTCAAAGGATTTTGTTTTCATTTCAACTATCATGTTGTGTCTTTATATTCTTTTCTTTTATGTTTTGGTTTATTATTTTTTATGAACATGTGTATTTTCTATTTTGTTTCAGCTAACAATTCATATGCACTTACATAGTTACATTCAAAATATAGCGAGACATCTCGACAAAATGAAACTTAAGGTGTTTATTCAGAATGCATATACACCAATCATTAGGTGAAAATGTAAAATATTTTTAACACTAAATATAGATTCTTTACAATTTGACTCATTATAATCATAAATAATTCTAGACACAACGAATGTGAAAGTTTCATTAATCTTAATTAAGTTTGGGTATAGAATTTATGTGTATGATGATTCTTACGTGGAAAGATTTCCAACAAGAGCTGAGTGACGCAACACGCCGTTTGCATGACAAACGCAATTGCTTTATGTAAATACAATCTCCATTATTTTCCGTATGTTAACTTACCCTAATCTCAAGTAGCTAAAATGTATCAACGAGAATATTACATTGAATTTCTTTGTAATTGCCGCTATCAGATTGTTTAGAAGGTTTCAATTCTGTGCTATCATCATCACAAGAGTTTTTCTAATGGTCTTGATTTTCATTATTAGTTATATATATTTTCTTATCAAACCAAGGATGAATACACATGATTATATTTGTAGACTTGTAGTCTTGTAAAGTCTTAATTTTAATGTAAATTAATTAATTATATCCATAGATAGGATTGTCTTGAATATTTTCAGGGGGTGTGACTGTGATACAAGATATATAAATGTAAAACAAATAAATAAATGGTAAAGATGATATTGGCGGAAGAAGTGGTGGGTTGGTAAGGCAAGGCGCCTTCACTAAAATATGCATGTGCATGCATTTTTACTTCCATCGTAGCATGCGAAAGGCTCCATTTTATTTATACACATCTTTACTTTTCTGTTAATTTCGTTTATATGTTTTTTATTTTGTTAGCTTAACCGTCTAAGAGGTCTAGCAAATTAGCAAATAACTTGGGAATGCATTTGAATTTTAATTTGTTTGAAATAAAGGTTTACTGGACAATTTGAAAGATTTAGTAGGTATCAGTAATATATCTCGTTTTCAGCAGTTTTGCCTACTATTTAGGATAGAGTCCAAACGATGCAGGTGGATGTCGGCCAATGTGAAAGGAAACTTACGCAAATATCCGACTTTGATTTTGTCAATTTATCGGTTTACTCTCTCTTACTCTTTTTTATGATCCTGAAATTTTGTAATCTCCAACTCGTAATAATTTTGTCGTTAATATAAACAGTATCGTTTCAAAGATTTACGCGCATCGTCGTGATTTGATCGATAGTTTTAGAAAATTTTCATTAGTCTTTAGGTCTATAAAATATTTAGGATCCCACAGTTTTCAAAAACAAAAACCATTGGGTCGGTATTGTTCAGATTTGATGAAACTTATGAATAAGCACTTAAGACGTTTATAATACAAAAAGGCTATTACTGAAATCCGTAGACAATACGGTTAGTGTAAAATGCATACAGGACTACCATACCATTAATCTGGTTTAATTTGTCCTCACTTCTGATTCTAACTTCTAGTGAAAATGCATATTAGAAAGTAAAGATTATATATCTTCATTTCTGACACGTATTTAAAGTCAGAACACGACTCTATGAAGGTGTCTGAAGATCTTAATTCGTGTATGCGCATTTACATACCTAGAACTGTTAGAACAGCAGTGGTTAGTTGGGACTTAGTTTCTTATACGAAATATATCACAAACTATACTTAGCTATTATGTAAGTTACCACAAAAAAAAAAAAAATCACAATCTAGCGTATTCTGATAATTAAACAAATGTGCTATGAACGACCAATAAAAAAAAAGCGATATGCACATTATGACTGACACATTAATATGAACGACACAAACTTCACATATGAGTACATAACTTTCATATTAATTTGCAGTCTACGAACTAAAAGTACTCGTTCGGTTCTCCTACTTGGGTATCATTAAGCAGACCATCATCTCCATTGCTCGTTCTCCTAATACTTGCTTTGCCACTACAAGCAGTATCTACTTTTCCTCGTGTATGCCCAATTTGGATTGGAGAAATCCAATATCTATAGTTCCACATTTCCAATATCACTTCCTAAAGCATGATTCCAATAATAGTTTTATGAAAGGCTTTTCACAACAATGCTTTTTTCTTATACTAAGGGGTTGTATAGCTTTATATTTTTTTGTTGTAGAACTAAAACTGTAGATTTTTTTTGTTGTGGCTGTAAATTTAAAAAAAAATATAATGATCTACATATAAATTTCCTAAAGAAAAAAAAATACTCTAGGTTTAGTCTTTTTCACAGCAAAAAATAAATAAAAAGGAAAGAAAAATATGTGGTTTTATATTTTTTTGACAAACCATAACTGGAAAAATTTATACTCATAAAAATAATTTGGGTTGTGGAAAGTTTCTACAGCACTTGCTAATCATCCCTAAGTCTGAATAAATTGGACTCTTTAAATGAATAGATTGGTTGCTATATAGGTTAACGTTTGAATATTTAAGAATGTGGTAAATGTACAACAAAAACATTTATTATATAGAACATGTCTGGTCTCTATAACTAAATACTTGTCTTTTTTTATAAACAAACTTAAATCAGAATGAATTTCATCGATATATCGTATCATAACAACCCCGTACGTAATAATGTATTAAACGAATAAATTCCTGACCTATATTTGTTTTCAGTTTTTTTTTTCTGACATATATTCATCGTCCTTCGTGTAAACTTAATCATTTTCCTTTGTTTTTGTCATATTTAAATGGGTTATTATTCTTTAGAAGATTGTGATAAAATAACACGAAGGAAACTTTGATTGATATCTAAGGATGGAACTATAAAAAAACAAAAAAAGAATATTTGATGGATTATCATCAAGGAAAAGACAATCTTTAGAGGAATATATATGTATATAATTAAAGTTGTTAAGCGAATTATTTGGTGAGCTATATTGTTATTTTACTGATTTTTAGATGTAATGGATGTGTCATCGTTTTACTTAAGAAATTGTGGAAAGGGAATGACTTAAAATTAGGCCACCAAACAACCACAATAGCAAGGAACCATCGTACACCACTCGTCTCACCTAACCCTGTTTTCTTTCTTGGGAGCTCATTTAGGTCCCACTTTACATTTTCACCAAACCCCTTTCCACTTGCTGTCCAACAATTCAGTCACAACTTCAAAGTTCAAACACACAAACCTAATCAATGCACGTCATCGGATTAGATTATTATTAAATATATGTGTTACTCGTTGCGGAAGTTTAGAAAGAAAATGGATCCTGTAACATCCCCATCTCTGACACCACATTTTTAGCCCACGAGGTCCAATAAAACACAAGAAAACATAAGACTTCAATAACATATTAATAAGAAAGCCCAAGAACACTGAAATTTTTGTAAACCAAAATTCACATAAAGCTTCAACTAATGCAATAAAATTTAAGCATACCAATGTTATTGATTTCACATTCATTCTTGCCAGTGCATGTCACTTCGTTACTTTATACAACTGCAGAAGATGAAATTGCTGTCAAATAAAGTTCACAATCATATAAATTAACAATATAAGCGAACGACCTGGAAATGATCAGAGAGGGATCACTACATCACCACTGGAATATAAAAAAACTGTAAAGTTCAGATGCGTTACCATTAGAAAGAAGACAAAAGTTTAACTAAAGAAAAATATAACAAACTTGATCATGTAAACACACTTCTATAAATATGGTATTTGATCTACAAAACAAAAGCTATGGTATCTACTATCATAGAGAAAAAAACAAATGAAGAACTAAACTAATATATAAAATATATATATTTATTTATTTAGTTATCTTGAAAAAAATTGCCAACTTGTTAACGTTGATTATATTTATATGTATATATCAAAAATTTCTTTGTAATAGTATATAACTATTTTTATTTGGTCACTTAGGAACCAATATTTTAGTAAGTTCACATTCTTCCTTATCGTAATTACCACATAACATTGAATGCACTACGCGTCCATGTTTCTGTACTTAGATTATTATGAATTAATTATATGAAATAAGTAAAAATTGCCCCTGATATTATCAAACATTTTGCTGTCCTAGGCGAATGCTTCTTTTTTCCTCACCAAGGCACGGTCCTGAATATAACAGTGATAACTGAATATATCTTTCTCTTTGTTCCAAAATATATTTTATTTTTAAGAAATGGTTTAGAAAAAAAAGAGATAACATTCTAGGAACAGAAAATAAATCATAAATCATCCTTCCTACGATTGACTTTAGGGTTATGAAGACTTCTTTTGAAACACTTTTTTTTTTTGAAACACAAGGTTATGAAGACTTCATAACAACATTTATCCATATTTACCTTAGTTTTGACGTCTTCGGTTTTCCATTCACAAGCCGAAGAGTGCGAATGTATTTTCCTACCATTAATATGATGGTTTAACCGGTCCTTGTCAAAAAAAAATTTATAAGGCTTCATGAAATCCACAAGAACCGTGGAAATATCTCGTCCCATCATTTTTTCAGACAATGTCATAAAATCCGATAAAATCTTTACAGTGCATTGAAAAAGTGTAAGGAAGAAACATTTCAGTTTTTTTTTTTTTTATGAGAAAGAAGAAATATTTCAGTTCCTAGAAGCTGAAGTGATGTGGTATAAAGTATTGCCAAGTAATAATGAGAAAACACTTCTGGAATTTGTCGGATGGTTTAAGACTATAATTAAGCCCTTGTGCTTGGATCAAGTTCTAGTCATGAACTAAAATGATTTCAACGAAATTTTTCTTCAACTTAATAAATCAAAGACACAATAGAATCCAACATCTTTACACAATAAATTAGTTTGTCGGGATGTTCACACAGGAATAGAGTTATAGAGTCTTGTCCTGCAGTGTGCCTCAAAATATACAATTTGATCCAAATGATTAAATACAAATTCAGTTTTAACTAAATAAAACAACACTATTCGAATACAATTAGGTGTGAAACCTACAAGAAAAAAAAGAAAACGAGGAGAAGATTCTATCGTCTATTGGGAAAGGCAGAAAACATACTCCATTAGAATAATGCAAGAGGTTAAAAATAATATTAGTGATATAATAGTAATGCAAGAGATTGAGTTAGTTCATTAGCCGATGCGACAATGTTTTAGGAATACGATAAAACAGTTAAACACTCAGATCTCAGGTTTGTCTTAACTTTCCAAAACCCGGTAATGTCATCTTCTCAGTTCTCATTGACCATTTACTGGCTTTATAGGAGTATTGTAGATTTTATAGATGACTTTTTATAAAAAAATTCAAGGCAAAACTTTCATTTACTTTCCACTTCCAACTGATTCATAATTTTATTTTTATTTAAAAACTGTTCAGAAAATAATTAAATTGTAGAGTAGTTTTCTTACATTTTATCAACTACAACATATTCTTTATTAAAATAAAAATACATTTTTTATCTACCAAATTAGTCATATTACGTTCATTTAATTAATTACATTTATCTGATTATTTATATTAATCTATTAAATTTAAATTTTATTTTTAGCTATAACAAAATCTGCTGAAAAAACTAAACAATCTTACCAAAAATAAATTAAGACACTGATTAATTTTGTAATTAATAAAAGAATATTTTTATAAATTATTTATAAATTACTTTTATTATAAAACCAAAAAAAAATATTTATTATTTTTTATAAATTTTATTTTGGTCTTTATTATATTAAAATTGAATTAATATACGAATTATATAGGAAATTATATTATATTGTAAACAACAAAGTAAAATAAAAATCATATATGTAAAAAAATTACAATAATATTATATTTATATATTTATAAAATTAATTTATCTGCATGGAAGTACAAATTAAAGTCTAGTTAGTTATTATTTTAAATGAAAGTCATATACAGTATAACCTCTTTAAATTAATATCTCTATAAATTAATATAATTTCATAGCCCTAAATTGAATTTTGGTTCAACTAATATCTCGATAAATTAATAATCTCTATAAATTAATAAAATTTATAGTTTTGGTGTAGTCCCAACATTATTAATTTATAGAGGTTTCACTGTACATGGCAGTTGTTTTTAGTGGGGAGAATGTGAAACACTATTCATTCTAATCAGTTATACTAAAAATTATCTGAAATTAAACTCCAACAAACAACCACAAAAAAAAAAAATGTACTCTAAAAAAATATTCCCTCGTACAGATGCCTTATTCTATTATTGTGGATATTCTACAGACATTTGAAAATGATATTTTTTGTTTACATTTAGAATTAATATGATTTCATTGAGTTTGATAACTAACTCTTATTTGTATCCTTATCAAATGTTCTAAAATATCATATCCTGATAGCTGAAATAGAATTTCATAGCCATGAAAAGTGGATATATGTTTGTGAAAATAGGAAATAATTAAACCAAGGGATTTCTTTTTCAAAATCAGTATTTTACTTCTAATCAGTAATCAAGATCACCTTGGTCCCAAAAAGTATGCTCTAAATGACTTTTAATTTCTTTTTGAATTTATTTAAAGCTCTGATCACTCTTATAAAAATTATTGGACAGAACTAGCATTTGACCCTAATTGATATAGAGAAATCCTTAAATAAAATTAATTCGAATCTATCTACAAGATCATATAACTTGAGCATGGTTAAATTAACTATATCTTCAAATATTTTCACCAATTTATTTGCCAGTTGTTTACAACGTTTATCAATAATTTTGAATGCCTAATTTCTTAATATGAGTATGATAGCATGTACATTTTCTGTTTATATGATCGTTAATAAGAAATATTACAAACTGTACTCAAACTATTATTATCATGTCGATAACATTAATTACTGGACACCAAACCATTGGACATGGCGTTTGTGGGAGGCTTATTTTGGGAGTACCACCACGTGTGTCCCACTCATTTGAGTCACTACTAGTGTGTCGATTTATTGCTAACAGTCAACCTTTTCTTGGAAACTATTTAATGCAGATCGACGAAAAAGAGTATAAGTAATGTTGTTATTTGCTTCTACTTTTTTGGGGAAAAAACAATTTATAGTATAAAAACCGTTATGTAGTAAGGTTTAAAAACTCGTACATTGAGTTTAGACTTTGACTCGTACAAAATATATTTGCCTTCAGATTATTGAATATCAAAATTTAATTTAGAAGATAGCAGTTAAAACCGTTTGCTGTTTGTTGTGATTGACTGATTGTATACTATAGAGAGATAACATATTCATCAAGATTATATATATGCAAAACTGTACGTCACTATAAAGATTACAAAAATAATATTGTAGAATCTTTTTTTTGACATCAAACAGTTTATATTGTAGAATCATTATCTTTGAGATTGTTCTTAATATCATACTAGAGTTTTACCCGCACATCCGTACGGGTATATTTTTCATTTTATAAATTATAACTAAATTTTGTGAATATATGATTTATATTTTAATTTTAATTATATCGAATAACGAAATAGAGAAATGGTTATTTTATAATTTTTTTTTTTTTTGTAAGATCTTGTTAGATTTTTTCAACAGATTTTGTTATATTTAAATTTATTCATTATTAAAATCTTTATTAATTATTAAGATGTTTTGAAAATATTATATATATTTGACTTGTTAATGTAACAATCAAAAATGTTAATAAATAATTAATGATATGGTTTAATATGACTTCTAAATAGTAGATAAATTTGGTACTTCTCTTTTAATAGAAAAGATATGTTACAAGTAATTGATCATTAATATAATAAAAATATATTATATAATTGAAATATGACTAATGTTAAAAACAAATAATCCTAGAAACAGTATTTGTAATAATAATAAAAAAAAAAAATTATTATATCAAATCTACAATCATTTAGGCAAATTATAATTAACATGACTTAGAATCTATATATAAGATAACATCGAATATTATTTGAACAGTTTTAAAGTTTTACTTATCTATCATTTGACAAAATAAGTAATTATCTTGACCAAAATCAAATAAATAATAAAGTCAAGTATATATCTGAATAGTGAATACAACTGAATTTCCAGATGATCAATAATATCAATGAGATCCATATTTGGCCGTATGATAAATCAGAATCACGTAGTTTTAGAATATTATCGTTTTCATCTAGTTAAATAAACACTATAAAAAATTCTGAAAAACAGATCTGATGATTTAAAATCTGCAGAGAATGTCGTTTATTAAAATCCGGAAACACAAAACGAAACCATTTAATATGATTGATAACCCTTTACAACATGGAAAGTTGACCACACATCAATTGCGCAAGGATAAGAACCATTAGATTAAAATTAAAAACGATATGAACCGTTAGATGGAAGCTAGTAGAGTCCAAGTCCAAGATGGACCCCATATTCTGCCTTTAAGGCTTTAACCTCTATCTATCTCTTTCTCTCCCACTGCTAAATGCTATACAAGGAAGCTGCTCGCATTATTAAAAAAAAAACAAAAACACTTAACAAAGAAGAAACAACCTCATCATCTGTTCACACTCTCTCAAGAGTTTAAAGACAAGTTAGAGAAGTGATTAACTTTAGGTTCTGTCTCTGAGACCACATTCTTTTTTTTTTCTCTATCTACTTATAGCCATTTTTATGTAAAACTGTTAGCAAAAAGTGTTTCTTCCGAGCAGGGAGATGGTGAGAGACACTCTGCTTTTGTTGTGTCTGCTAGTTTCCACTTTTCTCTTCACTTCTTCATCTGCCCAATCTCCAGGTAATTGTCTGTTTTTGGAGCACTTTCTGATGTGTTCTTACTTGTAATGGATGTAAATATTTTTTTTTTTTGAAAGCTTTTTTTTTTCTAGATTGAAATGTTACAAGGTTTTTAGCAAAAAAAAAAAAAATTGCCTTTTAATAACAAACCTCAAGAGCTTTGGTGTTTGTATGTTTAGTTGGATTGAAGTAATAAAAAAATTGAGTATTTATGGGATTTGAAGCCAATTCTAAAATGAAGTATAATGAAACTTGTTTTTCAAAAAAAAAATATATATATAATGAAACTTTATTCGTTGTGGTTGTTGATAAGGGCAGGTTTTGTGAGTTTGGATTGTGGAGGAGAAGAGCCATTCACTGATGAACTTGGACTTAAATGGTCACCAGATAATCACCTTCTCTTTGGAGCAACAGCTACTATCTCTTCCCCTAACCAAACCAAAACACAGTACACAACCTTAAGACACTTCCCTGCTGATCAAAGAAAATACTGTTACACACTCAATGTCACAAGCAGGAACCGTTATCTCATAAGAGCCACTTTCCTTTACGGTAATTTTGATAGTAACAATGTGTATCCCAAGTTTGATATCTCCCTAGGGGCCACTCCTTGGACTACCATTGCCATCTCCGATGCTGCTGTTATTGAAAAGGCAGAGCTGGTGTTTCTGGCTACAAGTCCTAGTGTTAGTGTTTGTTTGTCCAATGCCACAACGGGGCAGCCGTTTATATCTACACTTGAGCTTAGACAGTTGAGTGGTTCAATGTATCTGACTGAGTATGAAGACAGGTTTCATCTGAGTGTGGCTGCAAGGATAAACTTCGGTGCAGAAACTGAAGATCCTGTGAGGTCAGTGTATATATATTGTTCATAATCTGTTTTCTTTGTATATACATTAGGCCTGAGATTTTGAACCGAACTGAACCAAAATTTTGGTTAGAAGTTCAGTAAGTTTCCGAGAAAACTTTGGTTTTTGGTTCGGTTCAGTAATAGGTTACTTTGGTTTCCTTTAAAAAAAGTTATACCCAAACCATACCAAAAGCCCGAAACAAACTAACCGAACTAACCAACTTTTGAACCAATTTAGCAGAATTTAACCGAATTTATCTGAATTTTTAACAAAATTAAACCAAAATCAAAAACTTCGGTAGGATTTTCAAAAACCAAACCAAACTTATTGCAGGTTAATTTTTGATGGGATTTTTGTTGAACCAAATAAGGCCGGCCCTGAACCATGCATAGTGAAACATGGCAACAGCCCCCAAAATTTGTGAAAAAAATTACATAGACATCAGCCACAAAAATAAATTTTAGACCTCCAAATTTGAAAAAAATAAATTTCACATAGACATTGCTACATGCCTCTAAAATCTCAAGGCAGGCCCAAACTAACAAAAAAACGAACTACCCGAACCGAATAACCTGCAGGCCTAGTCCACATTGTGGATTAGTTGATAAAATGAGTTGGTATTTGCAGGTATCCGGATGATCCGTACGACAGAATATGGGAGTCTGATTTGTTGAAAAAAGCTAACTATCTTGTGGATGTTGCTGCTGGGACTGTGCGAGTGTCTACCACATTGCCAATAGAAACAGCTGGCAATGACAAACCGCCAGAGAAGGTAATGCAGACAGCTGTGGTGGGAACAAACGGGTCATTAACTTACAGGATGAACCTCGAGGGCTTCCCTGGTTTTGGTTGGGCGTTCACATACTTTGCTGAGATTGAGGATTTGGCTGAAGACGAGTCAAGGAAGTTCAGATTAGTTCTACCTGACCAGCCTGACTATAGCAAAGCTATTGTTAACATCAAGGAGAATACTCAGAGACCCTACAAGGTTTATGAGCCTGGATACTATAACATAACCCTTCCTTATGTTCTGAACTTTCGTTTCGCCAAAACGGCTGATTCTTCTAGAGGACCTATTTTGAATGCTATGGAGATTAGTAAATATATTCAGAAGAGTGATGGTTCAGTAGATGGTGAGTTTGTGGGGTTACTCTTACTCTTAGTGTTGTGTTGTTGACATTTGATGACTCTGACTTGTATTGCAGCAACTGTTATGGCTAATGTGGCATCTCTATATCCTTCAACTGAATGGGGTCAAGAAGGTGGTGACCCATGTTCCCCTTCACCGTGGTCGTGGGTGGTTTGCAGTTCAGAACCACAACCAAGAGTTGTTGCTGTGTAAGGATGTCTATCCTAACGTATGTTTTAACTATGTTATGGTTCACTTATCTTCATATTGCTTGTTATAACTGCAGAAAGCTGTCGAATAAGAACATGACAGGAGATATACCTTCTGACTTGACAAAGTTAACTGGCTTGGTTGAGATGTAAGTGTACTTATCTCTTGTAGACTCTTGTTGTTTCTTTAGACTGTTATTGATGTTTCAACTCTTGTCAATGTCAGATGGCTTGATGGGAACTCTCTAACGGGTCAAATACCTGATTTCTCTAGGTGCACAAGCCTCAAGATAATGTAAGCAAAAGCAAAACACTCTGTTTTTTTTTGGGATTTTGTATTGTATATTAGTTTTAGTATAAAATGTTTTTTTTTTCTGTGTCAGACACCTCGAGAACAACAGACTAACCGGAAATATCCCATCGTCGCTGTCAAAACTCGCAAATCTGACGGAACTGTAAGCTTACTTTAGACTTCTCGATATTGGTGGAAATCATTTGTATCCACCTAACCTGCATGAGTGTTTGCAGGTACCTACAGAATAATAAGTTAAAAGGAAAAATACCATCAGGCTTCAAAGACGTGGTCTCGAAGTAAGTATCTTGTCCCATTCTTTAAACAGAAGTAGTTCCCTAGTAGCTTATGTATTCTTCTGTCTTTGTGTGTGTTTTGCAGCTTCACTGGTAACATAAACCTTAAAGAAGGTGGAGGAGATACAGGGAAGAAGCTAGGTATCATCATTGGTACATCAGCTGGTGCTACTTTATTTCTTATTGGTTCTATCTTTTGTTGCATCTGGATGTGCAAATCGAACCAGAATAACAAGAGGAAGAAAACTTCAGGTATAATTGCCATGTTCTTACAAAACATACTTGTTTTCCTTGTGTATCGTATGACTTATGTTACTTACCTTGGTTAATTTCAGCGGAGTTAACGAACCTTCCGTTGCATGTTCAAAGAGCATCATCAACCCTGAGTGATGCACATGGAGACGCTGCACAGTGCTTCACACTATATGAGATAGAGGAAGCCACAAAAAAGTTTGAGAAGAGGATTGGTTCAGGAGGTTTTGGGATTGTATACTATGGGAAAACAAAAGAGGGGAAAGAGATTGCTGTGAAAGTTCTTGGGAATAACTCTTACCAGGGAAAAAGAGAGTTCGCAAACGAGGTATACATATTCCTTAAAACCTATCTCAAGTATTGAGCTTTTTCTTTTTGCTTAGGATGTAACTCGAGTTTGGTTATGGTTTGTTTTCAGGTTACATTACTGTCAAGGATACATCATAGAAACCTTGTGCAGTTTCTTGGTTATTGCCAAGAAGAGGGAAGAAACATGCTTGTGTATGAGTTCATGCACAACGGAACTTTGAAGGAGCATCTCTACGGTAACAGAATCAGTTGGATTAAACGGCTTGAGATAGCTGAAGATGCAGCCAGAGGTCCGTGAAGTGAACCTTATTACAAAAACAGAAAAGAGTTCTTGATCTCTTATAAGTATCTGATTGTGTTGTTGTGTAGGGATTGAGTATCTACACACAGGGTGTGTTCCAGCGATCATACACAGAGATCTCAAGACAAGTAACATCTTACTCGATAAACACATGAGGGCAAAGGTTTCAGACTTCGGTTTGTCCAAGTTCGCAGTTGATGGAAACTCACATGTCTCCAGCATTGTCCGTGGCACTGTTGGTTACCTAGACCCCGAGTACTATACATCACAACAGTTAACGGAGAAGAGTGACGTATACAGCTTTGGAGTCATTCTTCTTGAGCTTATATCAGGCCAAGAAGCCATATCTAATGAAAACTTCGGTGCCAACTGCAGAAACATAGTCCAATGGGTTAGTTAGTTAGTTAGTTAGTGTCACTCTTTGTTCTTTCAGTCCTGTTTTTTCGGTTCTTGATTATTCGGTTTATGTAGGCGAAGATGCATATAGACAACGGAGACATCAAAGGGATCATTGATCCAGCACTAGCCGAAGACGACTACAGTCTCCAGTCAATGTGGAAGATAGCAGAGAAGGCGTTGTTATGTGTGAGACCTCACGGCAACATGAGACCGTCCATGTCAGAGGTGCAGAAAGATATTCAAGATGCTATAAGGATTGAGAAGGAAGCGTTGGTAGCGAGGGGAGGAGGCTTCTCAGATGAGTTTTCTAGAAGCTCTGCGCATTCGTCGTCTCTCAACATGGGAATGCATGACTTGGCTAGTTCTCAGAACTTTGTCTCCATTGATGAGTCTGTCTTGCAGCCAACAGCTCGGTAGTAGCAGGATTTGGCTTTTTGTACAGATGCATCACTTTCACTCATGTTTTTCTTTTAACCTTTTGACTGGTTTTTCTATACTATTATTATTGTGTTCTAAGTAAACAACAAAGCTCAGCTTCATAAATGTTGATCAGAGTTTGAGCTTAGTCAATAGACAAAAGAAGCAAAAGCAGTTCATAATACAGCTTAGAGGGAACTAAAAACATGTCTACACAACGAAAAACTTAAAACGAGAATGAAACAACAAGCGAAAATTAAAGACAACAATGATAGTTTTTCTTTTGCTCTTACTTCAGTTATCACTTCTGACTCTTCTTGAGTAACACACCAAACTTCTTAAGCATACTCCCATTCTTCTTCTTCGGTGAAGACAAATCATCATCTGTTTCATCCCTATAAGGAGACATCATGTTCACATTCCTCCTTAACGGACTCTCCAGCGATCCTGTTCTCTCCACATACTTCCCATTACTGTTATTGTTATTATTACCACCAGAGAGCATAGACGCTGCAGCTTCAGCTGCTTTCCTCCACTGATCACACTGCACCTTAAGTCTCCTAAGCTCAGCTTCTAGTTCTGTGTTAGTGACTTGTGCTGCTCCTAGCTGTTCTCTTGCGTTTTCAGCTCTCTTCACACTCTTATCTGCTTCCTCCGTTAGACTTCCAAGCTTCTCCAAGGCCTCTGCAATAGCCTTGTCCTTCTCGCTCTGCATCTTCTCCATCTCGCTCCTTAGACTCTCGTTCTGTGACATTACACTCTGCAGCTCCATCTCCTTGTCCATTAGATTGGCTCTCAGCTCCATCATATCAGATTCCACCTTCTTGAGCTCGCTGTTCTCTAAGTTTACTTCTTCTATTTCTTTGATTTTCAAGTTCAGTAACTCGTTTTCATCAACTAGTATCCTCAGCTTAGCTTCTTTATCCATCAACCGTTCATGCAAAGCATCTCTTTCAGCTTTGGTTTTCTTCAGTTCTTCATCTAACTCAGCCTCTCTCTGCGCATATCCGGATTTCACTTCCTCCACTTGCTCATAAGCACTTCGTATCTGCAGCGTGCTCTGGATGTACTCTTCGTGATACCTTCTCTCAGTTACTTCCACAGCAGACTTCAGCTGGCTAATCTCCTGTCTCGCTACGTTTATCTCTTCTTTGAGCTCTTCCACTGCTGATGAGTCCTCTTCGTTAGTGTTGTTACCTCGTTCTTCCTCCAGCTGTCTCACAAGCTGCTCTAGCGACTTCACCTCGGATTTGGACTGCTCTAGCTCGGTTGTAAGGGCATTACAAGCTTCAGACATCTTCATCCCATCTGAACGTAACATCTCTAGCGTCAAGTTAGCTATCTCTAACTGCTTCTCAGTTGCTGAAACAATCTCATGAGCTCTAGCTTCTCCTTCCTTTGCGTCATACAGTTCCCCTCTGAGTTCCTCAACAAGAGATAGCGTCTCGTTGAGTTCCATCCTCAAGTTTTCAACTGACTCAGACTCAGAGAGCTGCGCTTTAAGTTTCTGGACCTCGTTCATTGCAGAGGCTAGCGCAGCAGAGTCCATGGCGTGTTGTCTCTGCATTGCTTCGAGTTCAGACTGCCACGCTTTGTCTCTTTCTTGAGAGAGCTTGCGAAGCTCATCGATTCTCGAGTCCTCAGAGGCATTGATCTCCATTAACTGCTGTTTTGTTTCGTTTGCTTCATCTTGAGCTTGTTTCTTATAAGCTTCAGAAGCGCTTAGCTCTTCCTTTGCCTTCTTTAGCTCCTCTTGAAGCTGAGATAACTGAGACGCCGCCACTTCAGGTGTTCCCCATGTTCGCCTCTTCTGAATCTTGCATGCATAAGTAACAACAAATACAGAACAACTCATACATATCAAGTAACAAGCCACAATACTCTAATAAACAGTACAAACTATTGTTTTAGAATCAACAACTTTCAAGGTTCAGTTAGTCGCTGTAAGAAAGAATACATAGACAAACATCAAACACCTAAGAGACGCATCAAACAAATTCAGGTAAAGGTCCAAAACTGATACAAATGTGCGTCAAAGCATATAGGTAATGGTCAAGAAAAGTAATTTGTGAAGCTACTAGTACCTCATTTACAGGTGTCTTAGGAGAACGGCGATCAGCAACTACTTTCGGGCTCTGAGTTTTGGGCGTCCTGATTTTTGGGTTGGGAGATGAAACAGGATCAGCTTCTGCAGTCTTGAGCTTACGAGCAGTTCTAGGAGTTGCTGTAGGAGATTTCTTCTGAGGCACCTCTAAGGATCCTGGCCTATCATAATCAACAATGAAGCTACAACGTTAACAAACAAAAACCACAACCAACAATGAAATGACCATAGCAAAAACCGTCAAAGAACAGAACAGGGAAAGCTGTGGACAATAGTGAGGATTACAATTATCACCTCTGCTTTGGAGTCTGCATTGCTTGGGATTAGAGTTTTGAAAACACTCCAAGAACCTGGTAAAAGAAGGAACTGTGTATGTGTGAGAAAGAAGCAAGAAACACACACACGCACAGATCTTGTATTATAAGATTATCATATAAGCAGCATATACAACAAACTCAACCAAAGTGCAAAACTTAAGCAAGTATACAAAAAGAAGACCTAACAAACTGAAACTACAAAAAATACATTAGCTTCAAAGAGACTCCATTTGAAACTAACTACCACTACCACCAAACCAAGGCAACAAGACAAACAAACAAAAATAAACTGTTCAAAGTCAAGATAAGTTTCCATCAAATGTGATATAATCACAAAGATAAACCCAGTTACAAGCAAAGAAAGTACATTTACTATTCCCACATAAAATCTTTTTTAGTTGTCAAGTCAGTTTTTAGTTTTTATTTTATTTGTCTTCAAATTTTGGAATCTTTTGTGGGAGAAAATAACATTATCTGTCATTTAGTTAACGGTGGGTTCTGGTTTTATTAGGTGTATTTTCCCCCAAAATAGAATATAACAGATCTTAAAGAAGAGAAAAACCGAGAACAAATATGAATTTAAGCCACAGAAAATATTTTTTTTTCAAAAATCTTTCTTTCAAAAACAACAGAGAAACGCTTTCCTTTTTCCTGGAAAAATATTATTAAAAGTTTTTGGCTGAATCTTCAAGCTTAATAACAACACAAAAACAAACATATGTCTAAGTAAACAAAATAATTAACCACACTCTAAAAGATTTACATTTTCTGCAGCCTAATAATGCTTAAAAAGCTGATAAAACCCAAGAAACTGAAGGAAAATTTTTAGGTATTTAAAACACATCAAAAATGAAATCTTTTGAGAAAAAGATAGAAACCCAATTAGTCTGTGAGAGAATCATTTGAAAGCTAACTCAAAGTTGGAATGTTCATCACCTGCAAAACTGAATCTTTAGCTGTTTCCCTCTTTTTGGTCCAAAATGCTCAAAGAAGAGAGAGAGAGATCGGAGAAGCCAAGAAATAGAAAATAAGAAAGGACCAAACTTTGAAGAGTCTTTCAGACCAATTGAGCTTCAGACATAATCTTCTTCTTCTCTCTTTGTCCCTAGTGTTGTTCTCTTACTGGACTCTACTCGTTTCCCCAAGTCTTTCTATTTTTTTTTCCACTGAACTGTCTATTTGTTTACATTAATATCCAGAAAGAGAAAATAGAGACCTGTGCAAGAAAATTAGATTAAATCATGATTTTACCCCCGATAACTTTTGCTATATTTCAAAATAGTCCCTCTTTTGTGTACCCCTTCTCTTTCTGACCTTGACTGATATATGAGTTGTTTAGAAGTACTCTTAATAATTCCTTAACTTAATATTAATTCGCCAAAATTGTTTTTTTCTTTAATTTGCATGAACAACCTAGTTTTGTATGTTATGGAGATAAATAATTTAATTTATCTAAATGATTTAAGCTTGAATGGTGACTTCAAAACCTACTTTACACCTTTCATGTTGTTAGTGTGCCTTAATGACACTGCTTCTCGAACTAGTGATTGTTAAAATTGTTTTCTTTTTACTGTCTAGTTTCAGATTTTAATATCCAAAAAAAAATCTAGCATAATTAAATTACCCCCAAAGTAACACATTATCGGTGAATCAAAGTTAATAGTAAAGCTTTCGAAGAAATATAGATACAAAGAGTAATTCAACAAAATTATTATTCAGTGACTTTGTTTGAGTTTTGTGCGTCAGAACTCTGCTTTCCTATCTCATGTGCAAATTTATGTTAGCTATCATCCATTTGAGCTTATAGTAAATAGTCGTCTTAAAAATACAAAAGAGGACTACGTAGACATATATACAGTCACTGTAGCATTGGACTAAACAAAAGTAATGTAACGGACATAACCTATCTATTAGTGTTGGTGATATATGAATTTGAAAAAAAAAGAGTATATTGGAAACCCGAGTAGTTTTACATTGATGAATTTTAAAAAAGAGTTTGAACCACTTAATTACAAAAAAAAAACAGAAAAGCAAGAAACTACACTCAACACGAACAGAAGCAACAAAATTTCCAATGTAAAATTGTCATTGTGTCTGAAGGCATTGTGTAGTCTACCAATACAATATGTAGGAACATATTTTATCACCTTGATCATTAAGGCATTAGCTAGACTTTCAATTTTTCTTCTCTTTTATTGAACATTCTTCTCTTTTTTTTAATAACTTTGTTGAACAATATTCATCTTTGAATATTCACATTGAAAGAATACAGTTCTCATGGGACTGATACTTGATAGTTGCATCAAGTTTAAATAAACGAGGAGTTAAACAGTAAAAAGATGTCCATATATGAAGTGAAAGAAAGTAGTAAGACAGTAAAAGGCTTTCGACGCGCCAGTCACGTGACATTGTTCGGCTTCGTATGTGGCTACTTAATTCCCAACGGTAATATTACGAGTGACAGGCCCCCTATAGTTTTCTAATTATATTTTCTATTGTTTGAATAAATTAAGACTTAGGATGCATTTCTATATACTATATAGTTTTTAGACTTCTATCTTCTACCTTTTTTCTAAAAAGATACACCTAATCCCTCAGGACAGTTTTTATAGAGTTTATCTGAATCGTATTATTCTCACAATGCATTAAACTTATTTCATCTAATAACATTAAAATAAAATAAAAATTAATCTATCAAATTAAATTCATAAACAAAATCAACTCCACTATAAATATCAAACAGTTAAGTTAAAATAGACTACCACTGATCCAACAACCACATATGATATAACTGCCGTTGAAAACAACAAAAAGTGGACACTGGACTCTTATTAAAATCATGGACTAGCTTATTTTCTGATTTAGGTTTTGAATTTTGTACACTTTGATGGAGTAGTGCTCATGTAAGTTAACAGATTAGGTATTTATTATTTATGTTGGTTAATAATATATAATAGTAGTTTTGGGAGTCCATGCATTACTGTTTTTATCTTATCGGGGATCCTAGGAATGCCCAGTTGCCACCGCAATAGGTTACCGGGATATAAATGCAACCTGCATATTTATTTTATACATATATACTAACTATATGGTCGTAGTGCATAGTTTTATTATATGGACATTTGATATCCCCAAATTTTGGTCGGTCCACGTCCCTCACATTACATTTAAAGAGTTTATTGGGACTATTATTCCATGTGCACATGCTGCTTTGACGCTATTGACTTTGACAGTCCATATCGAAATTAGATGATCTATGACCAAAGTGTCTAAGCATATTATATAGATAACCGATGAAAACGGGCTACCTTATGTGAGTACAATTATTATGTAAATTCAAATAGCTAATAGACAAATATATTTGTTTGTATATAGTGTGTACACTATAGATGATTGAACCCAGACAACTCAAACACGAATATGATCAGCTTAGTTGACAGAACTGATCACCATACAAAAAAGACATTTTCTAGCGATACAAGTTGTATGTAAAAACATTTTCAGGATCATAAAAGGCGTGTCATAATAAGAAGTTCTTAAAGTTATTATTCAGGATTCCATCTCAGTCATTTTAGCAATTCCATACTTGGATAATATATGGACACCGTTGGATCATGTCTTATGAACCCGTTATGATCGGATGCGCATGGCGAAACACTTGTGCATGTGTAGTATTTAAATTAGTCTAAGATTCATAATCATGTTTAAAAACGTGTTGCTTCGCTTCGAAGATTCATATTCATTTTAATATAATTAAGTTCTATCCTTTCAATTTCATGTGATTAGAAAGTCCAAACCAACAAACAACTTGCAGTTCACATTAGCCATAATCAAAAGAGGTAATTAAGATACGCATTGCGGTTGTTTTTCATGTATTCCGTGATAAAATACCAATAGTATCCATGCATGCATGTTTATCACCGATCATGTTCCGACTCATTCACATTCAAAATCCGAACAGTATTTTTTTTATTATCTACTTTAATTTGAAAAAAGGAAATAAGGACTAATTTGGAGGATATAAGAATATAAAAAAGCAAATCAGGTGCTAAAACGTGTTCTTGTGGGAAAATTGAGACGCCAAAGCATAACCTTGGAACAATCTTGCGCCGGAAGTCCCTTCAACTTTGTATCATCCTCCAAAACCACTTGCTTCACATATTTAATCGAATCCTATGCATAACATAAAAAAAATATTATAACAAAGTTATCAAGGCTATAATCAACATATTGTTGTGAAAGAATATTTTCACTAAACGTAATGCCCATTTCAGCTAATGATTATGGAGTTAGTTGCTTTGAATAATTTAGCAATAAACACTTAAATGACATGTGCTAGTTTACCAACCCATCCACTTTCAAACTAGTCTTCAAGCTCTATTCATTCATTTCCTCAAGCAAATGTTAAAGAAAATAAATATATAGAATTTTGAAGCTCAAGTTAATTACCTGTTTGGTCCCTTCCACAGAAGAAGGACGCCCCCATCTCTCAGGGTCCCAAAGTATGGAACTATTGAAAGCAAAGCTTGATATATGAACCGGAGGTTTTGTCTCTGTCTCATTATTAATTTTCCTCAAATGCCACCCCAAAACTTGTGAAGATTCACAAACCGGCCCCTCTACTATCACTCGTTTCCTATTAGCTGATAGCAACGCCATTGGCCAAGTACCAAACACCCTGCCAGAGTAAACAGTTAAAAACAATTTATAATATGATGATTAAAGCAAATGTAGTTAGAGGTAACACTTCATGTAAATTTACATACTCGATATCTCTAATCTCATCGAAAAATTCAAGATCATAGATGTTGTTGAGCCCCGCGAAATGAACTATCCCGCTTAGTTTGTGATGTTCAATGTGTCTCAACGCTAGGTTTCTCTGATGATCAAGCTCTGCTTCTAGGCTCGTGAAGTTCTCCTTGAAGACTATACGTCTATACATTAGACCAGTCTTTCTTAACATGGTAGATGAAGAGTTTACGTCAGCTTCCGAGTGTTTCTCCACGACTATCCATAGTAAAGGAGGTGGGACTAGCCTCAAAGTATTGGCCATTCTTCTAAGAAGAACGTTTTTGTAACGATCTTTGGTCATTATTGGAGTTACAACAATCACTAGACCTCTTGGTGTCACTTCATCTTGTGTCTCGGAGAGCGATCTGTTTTCTGGCTCAGCTTTTCGTGACTCTGAAGGAGCAGGGGCTTGGACTTGGGAATTGACTAAGGCTTTATCAGCGAGGGAGTTGGGTGTATAGGTAGAGTTTTCAGAAGGTTGGGGAGGAATCTGAGACTTAGAGGTAGTAGAGGGGTTGGTTTCGAAATTAGAGAAAAGTGAGGACTTACCAGCAGGAGCAAAGCCAGTGAAGAAACCCATTACAAAACATATAGAGAAATGAATTACAGCTTTTTTCCATACTTGAGTTTTCTTCTTTGATCTCTCCAGAGATCCCATCAGGTTCCAACCTTCTGTCTAAGAAAGAGTTTTTTTCTTGAGTGATTTTCTTTTGTTTTTATTTTTGGGAAGAACAATGTTTGAAGAGTATCGATATATAAGACTTTTATAACATTTGTATAGTTTTTATTTTTGGTGTGTGATTGAAACTGGTGAGCTAGGGTGGTAGTATTTGATGTTTGGTGATTGCTTGTGTTGGTTGTGTTCTGCAACAACCAGTTGTTGGGATTGGAACTTATTAGCTGAAACATGTTTGGGAAATAAAAGAAAATCATTGCTAATAGCAAATATATTAAAATAAAAACTTTGCTTACTAATGAATCTTAGTGCTACTAACTCTTATTGTAGTGGTTGCGATGAGTATGGTTATGATCAAAATAGGAACTTGTCATTTTGTAAGATATATAAATTTTGGCGGTTTATATATATGAAGCAGTTGAATAAAAAATGAGATCGCACAAACTTATCAACCATTACCGTTTGCTTGAGATACAAGTTTGACCACACATATTCTCATA